GTGCCTGTAAAATTAAAAAAAAATACTGAAAGATTATTCGCAAAATGAAGTCCTCCTTGGGCCCACCCACTCACACAGCTCCAGAGGGTAATCATGACTGAACTGAGTAATATTCGTCATAATTTTTCCTTTTCACTTCAAGTCCTTTTATTTGCTTGTTTACTTACATATAAAAGGGATTGATCAAGCTTTCCATATTGTTTTGGCAGTTTGGTCCGTCTCGAACATCTTTCCATATGTGTGAACTTCGGTTTTTTAAAATGTTGGAACAAAAACAAAACCTAGAGAAGAGGAAATTCTCCCAGCTGAGCCTGCAGTCTTTCAGCAGTCGCTGTTTGAGGATACAGGCATATTCTTAAAAAGAGAATTGCTAAATTAGGCTTGAATATCAAAGGGGAAACAGTTCGAATCTAGCAAGTACCAAGGAAGGTGAAAAGGAGGTGTCTTGGTTTCTAAGCGCTGTCCCTGAAATGCCACGCATAAGTGGCTTTGGGGAATAGAAACTTAATTTCTCATCACTTCTAAGACGAGATGTCCAAGTGCAGGACCCTGGCTGTGGGGGCAGCCTCTCACTGTCGGCATTTGGGTAGGGAGAATATTTGTTTTCTTCTGCTCTTGTTCTTGACATTCTCCACCTGCATCTGTGATTTCCTCATTTCTGTTTGTTCCCTTCAGCTTCTCATTAGCTCTTTTTAGAGCTCAAAAATGATCAGGTTTAAGACACGCCCTACATGGATATTAACATAACGAAGGAAAGCCCTATTTCCCAATGAGATTTCATTCACAAAGAGTTACATGAGGTGCCTTCAAGGCCACTCTGACTTGTAGCCACTCTCTAAAACAGATGGAAACTTGCCTAATTAGGGGTTAGGGTTCAGCACGTGTTTTGAGGGAGACACAGTTTAATCCTTATCAAATTGAATCATTGAAATCTTCTTGCCTCCCTCAGAGTGGATGATGTTGTGAAATCTATGTACCCTCCGCTGGACCCGAAACTCCTGGACGCAAGGTGAGGGGAGGATGCTCATTTCCCATGCTGGACGGTCATGCTTTAGGGACTCTGAGCTCGATTGATTGGGGGTTTTAGGAGAAGACTGTTTTGGGCTATGTCCAAACACTAAGGAATGCTTTCAGATTTGTGGCTTTGCCCCTAATGCCTTGGGAACCGTTTATATCAATATAGTCTAAGCCCCGCTGAGCTAGCCATCCAGTGAGCTGAGACTGCCTGCCTGCGTGATAAAGGACAGTCCTCTTCCAGAAACCTTAAGAAGAAAGAGCTGGTCTTTGATTTTGAATTCTTATGAATAAACACTGGACCCTGCCACGTCCTAACAGTGCCATGCCATCTCTTCTGTATGTCCCTTATTGCTTCCTCCTGCTGTGTGGAGCCCAGATGCGGACCTGCCTCAGCTCTGAGTGCCGCCCCAGAGAGCAGGGAAAAGGCAGGCAGCAGACAGAACACTGACAGGGAAGGGACAGGTCAGCCAAACTGCCTACCCCTGCAGCCAGCCTCCTCCAGCGAGTCAGTCATTGCTGTCCAGTCGGAACTGACTCGTAGCTGTCCCTCCAGTGGGTTTCGGAAGCTGTAAATTGCACAGGAGGAGAGTGCCCACTTCCTCAGAGCTCCTGGTGGATTTGAATCACCAGAGAGGTGAGGTCTTTGGGCTTCACAGTGCAGCTCTTTATAGACTAGGCCACCGGAGCACCATTATCCTTCTCCAAGTCCCCTCCACCCTAAGATGTTAGTTACGTTAAGAGAATTGTTATACTCCTGTATCCGATAGAATCTCCTTTTGCAAAACCAGGTTCTTTTTTGTTTCTCTGATTTATGCCACCCTTTTGCAGACATGTGGTATGATGATTGCCAGATGGGAGGGATTATGGTGCTTCAATTTTGGTGTCTCTTTCCCACTGCTTCTGCTGCCCAGCTTTGTCTAGGGCTTAATGATCTGTCATACATTCCCAAATGCACCTTGAACACGTACCATGTAAAAGACATGATAGTGACTCTTTTAATACTAATAACTCTTCTTCAATGTGCTTTTCAGTTAATTTTTTTTTCAGAGTAGGATAAAACAGTCCTGGGACTTACTGATTCATAATCAATAAAAGAGAATTGATTTGAGATCAAATAGAGATGCTCATAGTAGGAATATATCTATCCTGTGGTGGTCTTTGAGCTGTGGTGCTGGACAACAAACAGGGTTATCCTTGAGAGGGTGAAAGCAGGCTGCTCCTTGGAGGCAAGGATTCTGAAGCTCCGTCTGACATACTTGGGGCACGTTGCAAGAAGGGACCAATCCTTGGAGAGGGACGTCATGCTTGGGAGGGTGGAGGAACAGCGCAAGAGAGGAAGACCCTCGATGAGATGGATTGACTCAGTGACTGGGGTAATGGGGGTAGGTGTGTCAGAGAAAATGAGGTTGGTTCAGAGAAGAGCAGGGTTCAGAGCTGTTGTACATAAGGTCACTATGAGTCACAAGCAACTCTATAGCATATAACAGCAACAGTGGTGGCCTAGTAGGTAAGGAACTGTGCTGTCAGCCCAAAGGCAGGAGTTCAAATCCATCAACTGCTCTGGGGGGAAAAAAATGGAAAATCTCTTCTTGTTCGATTTACTGCCTTTGAAAACCCACTGGAGGGTCATCAATGAGTTGGTTCTGACTCAATGGGACATAACAACAATCACAACCATAATAACCACAACAGTAACAACATTTAAAGGAGCCTATTAGATTGTGTTCATAAAGCATTTTCCTAGGAGATGTTAATAGGTGTGCGCATAAAATGAGTTTCATAAAAATAACATGAGACATAGTATATATACTCTTCCCTCCAAGCTTTGTCCTGCACGTCAAAGGCTCTTGAGAAGCCTTCCTGTAAAGACACCTGCTTAACTTTGTTTAACCCAGCCATTTCCTAATTAACTGAGCATGGAAACATCTTCAGATTGTTGTTATGTGCTGTCGAGTCGCTTGTGGCTCATAGCAACTCAATGTACAAGAGCTCTGAAGCCTGCTCTATCCTGAGCTGACCTTACTGTCTCCAACACACCTACCCCTATTACTCCAGTCACTAAGTCAATCTGTCTCTTTAAGGGTGTTCCCTTTCTGTGCTGTCTCTCCACCTTCCCAAGCTTAAAGTCCCTCCCCAAGGACTGGTCCCTCCTTGTAACATGCCCAAGTATGTCAGACGGAGCTTCAGAATCCTTGCCTCCAAGGAGCAGCCTGGTTTCACCCTCTCCAGGTCGAACCTTTTTGTCCTCTTAACAGTCCATGGTATATTCAGTAATCTTCTCCAGCGCCACAGCTCAAAGGCATCAATTCTCCTTCTATTATCCCTAGTCATTGTCCAGCGTTCTGCTGCATAACATATAAATACATATGCCATTTCTCCAGCTTAGAGACCCCTAGTCTGGATCTCTCCATCAGGACTTTGATATGAAGCCCTTAACTTTCAAAGGAATCTGACCTTGTTTTTTTTTCCTAGGACAACTGCCCTGCTCCTGTCTGTCAGTCACCTGGTGCTGGTGACCAGGAATGCCTGCCACCTGACCGGGGGCCTGGATTGGATTGATCAGTCACTGACTGCCGCTGAGGAACACCTGGAAGTCCTCCGAGAAGCAGCCCTGGCCTCTGAGCCTGATAAAGGGCTTCCAGTCCCTGAAGGTTTTTTGCAGGAGCAGTCAGCCATTTAGTGCCTGCTGGCCAGCAGCTGACCACAAGGGCCTCCTGCTGCTGTCCCTGGGTGGTTCCCTGAGCCCTGTAGTCTTTCTTTCCTGTAGAGTTAGGTGCACTCTGGAGTTCAGCTGGGTGTGCTTGGAAAAGCGAGACAGCCTTGTCAGCTAAAGCCTTTGTTGCACTTGCAAAATGTGGCTGGCGAGGGGCAGTCTAATACCGCAGTTATGGGAGATGACAGTCACTGTTAGCACAAGCAGCGCAGAGAGAACTGGAGGGCCGTCAGCTTTATTGAACTCACCTAGTGTTTTCAAGAAAATTGAGAATCAGGACATTTCTTATTAAAACCAGAGTTTCTGGCTGCTCTTGAACAATCAGTAGGTATACCAGCTCTCTTCTTTATTCCCAAAGAGACAATCAGCTTTTGATAAGACTTGTGCCATCTCACCAGGCCGGTTTCATTGACTTGTATTGTTTGCCTTGTCTTGGAGGCATCTGACTCCCTCTTCCTCTTTCCAGCTGTGGGTTTAATTGTGACCACAGAACTCATTATTCACTTTAATCACTGTACCTGCAATTTGACTTAGCTATCACTAGGTGGGTAAGAAACCCATACATTTTTCTCAAATGAAAAAACCCAAACCTGTGTCTCATTGGTGACTCTGTTGGGTTTCTGAGCCTGTAAACCTGTGTGGGAGGCGATTGCCCATCTTCTGCCCAAGGAGCACCTCATAGATTCAAACCGCTGACCTTTTAACAGTACAGTGTGCTCTGCTCGAGGGTGCCCGCAGGGTTTTCTCACTTGTGTGGCTACTTAGTCAAATCCAGTGCATGGTGGGGTATTCTTGTCCAAGAGCCTTGAATGGAAGGAGAAAGCCTTCGTACCCTGAGGATAGTTTGTAGCTAGAAACCCCTCAGAATTCAGGTCGAAGTAGAGATAGCACCATAAATAGTACTTTTCAGTTAGCAGTGATGTCTGTGAAAGATGGGCCCCCTACCCCCACCCCCATGTATGGTTTGCAAGTGTTGAAAGATGCTAGGGTCTTTTCGTGACACGAGACCCAGTTTGAACCATCAAGAATGAATGGTACATGATCCTGAGGACTTTTTTCTCATCATTAGCATGTAGGACAGGCAGGGGTGCTGGTTCTCAGGAACACCCCGTGGGGAGGAGGCCCCGCTCAGAGGCTGCCCTGGTTCCCATTAGAAGCTGCTAATTGTGTTTGGAGCCACATCTCTCTCCCTGTTTTTTGTTCCCTGCCCTAACTCAAGCCAGCTGATTCCTCAGCCTGTTTCTAGGAAACCAGGAGCTATCTTGAAGTCCAGGCCTGAGGCCTTGTTTTCTGCCCATTGTGTCCATTTCATTCTCTCCTGGTGTCTGACAGGGAGACCAGAGCAAACCTCCTTGCTGGCCAGATGGATGGATTCCTGACTGCAGGAAACCTTTTACTGGATTATCCGTTCCCATTGAGCTTGAGTATGAGTTATTTAAGTAGTTAACTTTCCTGTCCTTTCAAGCTGTGAAGTGTCAGGAAGTCAGCGACTTTTCTATTTGCGCTTTCCTTACCCACCTTAGACGTGGACGGTGCACCTGTTTTTGTCTATTTTCCTCCCTTTCAAAATCCATTTTCACAAGTGGCCCAGAAACAGATTCACGCTACGGTTATATTGACTGTCACAGCTGCAAAAAAAAGGTTTGCATCACCTTCTCTTTCTTTTTTTCTTTTTTTTTTTTGAACATTTTGAGTTTGGGTAAAAATTTATAGGACAAGTTAATGTCCACAGTGCGTGCACATAATGTTTCATGCCATTCATTGCAATCCCCTTCATGAAACCGTGCTCTTCTCAAACCCTCCTCAGGCCTCTGTTTCTACCTGTCTGTCTGTCCTGTCCATTCCTGGGTTCTGCACAATGTTTTGGTAAATTCTGCCCTTTTGGTCTCATGGCTGCCTGCTCTAAGGAGCACAGTTCTCACGAGTGTTACTGTTCACTTTACAGACCAGTCTGCTGTTTGAGAGCTGAGCTCCAGGAGCAAGTTCAAGTTCCAGGACTCGAGGGTGCTTAGGAGCCATAGTCTCGGGCGCCACTAACTTTGACCTTTTTATGATTTTTATTGTGTCCTACATGTCCTGGGCCTTCTGTTGTGATCAGAGTGGTTAGAAAGCATGACCAGACACTACCCAGTTGCTCTGGTCTTAGGCTGGTAGAGGCTGCGTGTGCATCTCTTAACCCTTTGGAGAAATAATTTGAGTCTGATTTCCTTTATTCTTTGCTCCAAATATTTTAAAAAAAGACTAGCAACAGCATCTAAGATGACATCTTGCAAACCTGTGAGACTCCAGTCACTACTCACTGACGTAGGACGTAGACCATTGTCTTTATGGACCCAATTGATTATGGCCAACTGCCCTCGATACTCTCTGAGACTATGGCCCTAAACCCTCAAGCCGAGTGGTTCAGTCTCTCAAGATGTTTGGTTTTAGCTAAGAAGTTTGGATAATTTGACCCCATCTGTACTTCTTGTACTTGGAGATATTTTCAACATATAGAAATACATATGTAGAAATACCCTTTTTAAACCTGTATGTGTCTGTGGATATATGCACATAGCCCATTCCATACTTGTTCAACTGCTATGTCCATTTGTGAATGACCTTTATTACTGTAACTGCAGAATTGTATAATCACTGCTGCCTTTTATTCTTGAGTACTTACTGGTGTCTGTCTGTCTTGGCCCTGGTGCGCTCACCTCCCACTTACTGTGTATTACCTTGGCCTTCACCCAACGTACTGCATGTCTACTATCTCCTTAGTGATTTCCCTTTCTTACCCTCCCATCGGTAGTAACCGTCAAAGAATGTTTCTTTCTATGTATAAACTTTCTCTTGACTTTTAATAACAGTGGTCTCATACAATATTTGCCTTTTATGATTGCCTTTTTTTCCACTCAGCATCATGTCCTCCAGACCATCCAGGTTGGGAAGTGTTTCACAAGTCCCCATTATTCTTAACATTGCCGAGTGCCCCTCTCCCTTGGGCTGACACTGGGGAAGCCGGCATTGTCCTGAGTCAGGTGCTAAGTCCTAGAGGGTGGAGTGGCCCAAATCCTCATTTCACTCAAATGCAAAAGCCTCATTGCCATTGTATTAGAACTGACTCAGAACTGACCCTCCAGGGGGTTTTCAGAGGCTGTAAATTGTATCGGTTTTTTCCATGGACCAGCTGGTGGATTTGAACCACCTACCTTTGAGTTGGCAGCACAACTTAACACTAGGCCCCCAGAACTCCCGTCTACATATTGGCAGCTCCTCTGTGCCTCCTTCCCTCTTCTGTCCCAGGGGAGGAGCATGAGCAGACTCAAGTTGTGAATGAAGAAGTAATCACTGAGGGATAAGAATTAAGCGTGAAATTGACGCGCTCTGAAACCAGACAGAATAAAGTCCAAAATTGGGCTCTCATTTGCTGTGTAAGTTTGGACAAATAACTTCTCTGAGCCGTATCTTTTTTCCCATGTAAGCTTGAGGTGACTGCCTCACTGGTTTGACAAATGACAGGGTGCATGTGAAGTGCGCATTTGTGTACCTCTTGGTGACTAACCTTTCCTTCTTTGCCATGGTCCTGAGCACTGACCCAGCCGGCCGAGCTACCCTCAGTTCGGTTACGGATGTCCTCTGTCCAAGCAGAGGTTTCCTTTCACGGGCTGCAGCTGAGGAACCACTCGCAGGGGAGCAGCCCAGCCTTGTCCCTGACCTACCCCAAGTGTGTTCACAACAGGAAGCCTTCAGAAGCTTCTTATCAGTGTTCAGAGGCTTCATTGCTCAACTTCACATTCCACCAGAGAACAGCCCAGGAAGCCTTCTCCAGCTTGTGAAAGCTCCCAGATGGAACTGAGGCTCCTGGCGTGGAGCTAACCCCAGCGTTTACCCTGACCTGCCTCATTCCGCGAGTGTTTGCTCTTCAGAGAGTCTTCTGGGTCTCGGGCCTCATGTGAGCCTGGTTTTTAGGAAAGAACTTGAAGTTCAACGCCATCAGATTGCTTTATGACATTGAAAATCACTATGTCATCGAAGAATTATTATTCCTTTCTTACTATTTGCTTTCTGCTTTCCCCTTCCTCCCTCCCTCCTGCTTGCTTTCCTTCTTGCTCTTCCGCTTACAAAGGAGTGCTAATGCTGGGGGAGGTGCTATGTGGGTGCTGGGGTGTGGAATGAAAGACACACACTCTGCCTTTAAGGAACAAGAGAGACAAAGGAATGACTGAACTACCACTGAGGTGGGGGCAGGGGGACATATAGAGAGGCATGGGGACACAGCAGAGAGAGGGGTGTGGGCAGAGCAGAGGTCAGATGGTCAGAGATGAAACATGGGAGGAGTTGATGCCCCAGTAGAGCCATGAGAAAGAGGAGCAGAGAGATGATCTGGCCAGACAGAACAAGGGACATTCTAGGCCCAAGATGCTTCGGGACAGTCACAGTACAGCTAAATTTGGGCACATTGGTAAAGCTCTCAGATCCTGTTGTTGTTGTTCTTATGTGCCGTCGAGTCGCCTGCGACTCATAGTGACCCTATGTACAACAGCCCTAAACTCCGCTCTGTCCTGTGCCAATCACACTGTCTCCGACACTCCCATCCCAATTATCCCAGTCACTGAATCAATCCACCTCATAGAGGGCCTTCCTATCCTGCACCGTCCCTCCACCCTCCCAAGCATGATGTCCCTCTCCAAGGACCGGTCTCTCCTCACAACATGTCCAAAGTAAGTTAGACGGAGCCTCAGAATCCTTGCCTCCAAGGAGACACCCGGCCTAACCCTCTCCAGGACAAATCTGTTTGTTTTCCTAGCAATCCATGGTATTCTCAGTACTCTTCTCCAGCACCACAGCTCAAAGGCATCAATTCTCCTTCTATCCTCCTTGGTCATTGTCCAACTCTCTGATGCATAACAGGTGATTGTGAAGACCATGGCCTGTATCAGACGCACCTTAGTCTCCAGAGAGACACCACTGCTCTTCAGCACTTT